GTGTGTGTGTGTGTGTGTGTGTGTGTGTGTGTGTGTGTGTGTGTGTGGGTAGCCATGTGTGTGTTTGTGTGGGGGGGAGGGGGACTGGAACATTGGATAGCTGAAGTGAAAGGAAAGCTGGCACAAGTGAAGGGTTCAACGAGTACATGCCATTAACATTGTATTCCTTAAGAAAGAAACAAAAAAAAGTGCACAAGCTCTATCGGTCCTGTGGAGGCTGTGTTACATATGTTTACTTTAATTTCCAAGTGTCAACCAAATTTAAAAAATAGCCAATATATCCAGCCAATATGGATCATCCATGATCAGCAATTAGCAAAAAAACGTGATCAGGGAAAGTTATATTTGCTCCCTTCTTTTCTTTTGTGCTGATCCGATCCGAACCGTTTTATGACCCCGCTGCACCACTACGTGCTAGCCATGGCGAAAGCTCTCAAAGGACACTAAATGTCATCGCTGATTAAAACCTTATGACAGTAACGCGATCGCAGACAACATCATCTCTCTGTTTCACTCAATAGTGGAAGGAGCAGTTGTGACTCATTAGGGCAGTGAATGGATTCACAGGGTGTGTGTGTGGGGCGGGGGGCTCTCAGCTGCTGCCGCCTCGGAGAGGCAGAGCAACGTCACAGACCCAAGGGTAAAGGAAGCCAATTTAATCTAACTGACCTGCAAGACGGGGGGGGGGGGGGAAATAACCTCAATCAATTCCCAAGAGACGGGCGAAGATGGCGGTTTAGCCAACATGTATCATATGGGAGTGGAGACGGAGAGAGAGAGAAAGATGTGCGTGTGTCTGTGTGAATCTTACCTGATGCGTGACCATTGGGGAGCAGGGTGAAGAGGACGAGGAGTGCGAAGGCAGCCAGCCTGTGGGCTAGAGAGGAGGAGGCTGAGGAAGAAGAGGAGGACAGGTCTCTCGTCTGAAACGCTACCATCCCATCGCACATCTTTTCCTCTGGCGACCAGCGAGACTCCTCTCCGGCTTAACCTGTCCAGGCCACATAGAGAGGGAGGGATGGAGGGGGGGGAGGGAGGGGGATTACTATCAACATTCAGCGAGGATTATGTAACCAAACGCAACACAGAGAGACGGGAGGGAATAGAGCGAGAGATTTAAAGACTAAAAGGGAGAGAGAGTGACAGACAGAGAAAAGGCCATCTCGGCATGTCATCAGGTAGCGTTTGGGTTCCTGATAATGTGTATTTCCTATTCTCATACTTCTGCAGCATCCTAATAGTTAAACCACCGACAGGCAGACAAACGGCAGTTTTCCTGCGTTCTTTTTTTGAAAGCAACAGCAGGAGAGTTTCCTCTGATCTCCCCTCGATCCCAGCGCCTTGGATCTGACACAAGATCTAACTAAATAAAGCAGCCATTACGCTCTGCTGTAGATGATGTAACGGGGAAACAGATCCCTGCTGCTGCTGAGGTAGTAGTAGTAAAATAAAACAGTGGTTACCGAAGCTTCATCGTTGAATAAGTCAAACTTTAGGACTCCCTGGTGTTTGGGCGGCATTGCCTATCAGCAGATCTTTAAAAGACACGTGTTAGTGTATTTATTGGTCATTATTAGTTTGTTAATGCATTTATAAATGTACATAACCAAGAAATTCCTCAAATGTAGTTATTAAAGCGTTTCAATAAAGAGGGACCAGCACTTTACAGTTGAATGACAAACAGATGCCATGCTGCCGTCTGCTCGGCTGTGATGCAACGCCGCCATATGCTGCACGCTGTCATAAGGAATTGAGTGTGATGGATAATATATTTGAAGATAACTTCATCAGACGCTACTTTGGTCCTTGCCCCACTCGTTACCGACTGGCAAAATATTATTGTTCCATTTGTCGAAGTTCTTATCTAGCAGGTGGTGGTATCTGTTGTAAATGTTAAATCAAACCTCTCTGTGTGATACCACTTAAAGAAACAATTCCTGAAAGCGTTTGTTGGTTGATTGATTGAGGGGGGACACAATGAGACTTACACCATCATTACATAAACGAGCTGCAGGTGCACAGTCTTGATTACGTTGCTACAGAGAGATCGGGATGAAGTAGCAGTAGTTGCGTTAGCGGTGGAACTAGCTTGCTGGCAGGCAGCATATCCTCAAGAGAGGGCAGAGGGCCCATTACAGTTACTCAAGGCTGCTGAGCTAATGGCTACAGTAATGGCGCGGCTGCACTCAGAGAGCTGTGAATTTGATTGCAGATCTGCTGCGTAGTCGCTGCCACCGATGACCCGGAACAACAGCGATGAGGGAAGTAAGTGTCAACACACATGTGCACATTCGTGGTTTGTTTTTCGTATCTACCTGTGCTTTCACGTTTGCGTGTCCCGCACGGGGTTTGAATGATCAAGATACTTGAAATTGGCAGAAATGAACACAAACAGCAGGGCCTCCTTCTGCCTGCCATCTCTCTGATGTGTGGTGGAGAGGCATACCTGCATGTGGCCCACACCATTGGGCGAGAGTGACGCAAGCCACATTTGGCAGGACAGTTTGGGCTCTGCATTGAGCCAAAGGGCAGGCAGTCAAAAACACATACATGGGACCTGCGCCAGCCATTTGATTCATAGACACTTTTCTCATGCGGCCATGTTGGGATCAGAGCACTGCTGCTGAGGCCCTGCGGTAACTCAGATGACGATGTGCCAGATGAACGTCTTATAAATATCGAGGACAAACAAAAGTCACAGCCTGGAGAAAAGACGGCACGTGTTTTGTTTAGAGGTACTTGTTGGGATGTAAATAACCACTTGGGATGGCATTTATAATGCGGGACTGACCTCCTGGGAGAGCCGAGGGCGGAGTATTGACCGGCCGGTATGCTTGTAAAGTGAAAACTTAAGCAGAATTAGCCCAATTGCATGCATGCACACAAGAGCGACTGAGAAAGGACAAAGTCATTAACTCTGTGCTAAGGTAGCCCACAAAATACAGCTTTCCAATTAGCTGGAACAAGATAGCTTACTGGCTGTATGCTCACGCATTTAATTGATTAATAACACAGCAGCCAGTTTGACAGCGAAAGCACAAAAATACTTCAAGTATGGATGTCAACTTTGTAACTTTCAACTGTGTGGGTTTCCTGTCACACACCGTCAAAGATGTTGAGCTCGACGGATCGCATTACAGACGGTGCTGCTATTTTTATCTTTTAAACGTTTGTGTTTCCTGGAAAAAACACTCGAGTCTAACCATGTGAACAAACACTTCCTGTTAGTAGCTGCATCTGGACATGTAACATCAGTTTACCTGATCACAATGTACAGCCTGTGGTGCCATTGCTGTATGTACAGTCAAACGGTGCGTGTTTAAATAGCCATCAGTATCATTGCAAAGCCATTCTAAATGGCTGACATCCAAGCCATTGTTGCAGTATGACTGCTCACAGTTATATTAGTGTTACTGGAACAGGATAGTGGACAGAATATGATACACATCTCATCAAACTTCAAGCAGCTACTGAAATGAGTACAACAACTGCTAGCAGAAAGCAAAATCATCTAAACTGACTCGACAGAATTGATTTAAAAAATTTTTAGACCGTGTAATGACACATACATGTTGTCAGCCCATACACACAGATGTTACAAGAAAGTCAAACACGTACTCATACAAAAGAACAAGACAACTTCCTTGTTTGCTGGATTCGCCCTTTTCTCGGTTCTATATCTGTTAACTGAATATCTGTTAACTGTAAAAGGTTTTTAACTGTTGGTCAAATAAACAAGTAAATTGAAGAAGTTACCATACTCAAAATGATAATCAATAATGTAAATAATCGTTAGTTGCGGGCCTCAATGACATTGCTAAAAATAGCAATGCCATTTGTCTGTTGTGTAGGCCATGTTTGGGCCCATTTCATTAAGAAATTGGAGGTTTTTATAGCATAAATACTTTGTCTTTTTAGGCCTCCACTTGGGGGAAAAACTATGCAACTTTCCACTTCAGACACCAGTGAGACAAGCAGCCAGCCAGCATGCTGCTACTGCAGTTTTTCAGCTGCCCGAGGCTCCTGGAATGCAAAGGGAGCCAAGGAGAGCAGCAGCACAGGCATGTGTCCGGGAACAGAGAGCACTCAGTGTGCCAAAGAAACAGCCGGGAGGAGATTTCCACCCGATAGACCCGAATGCTACTGCTGCTGCTAGAGCCCGCCTGGGCCTGTGGAGGGAGCCCAGAGATGGGGCTCTGCATGGCAGCACAGAAAGGACCCTTTGTTTGAAAAAAATAAAAAAAATGCATGTAGTGCTAAGCCCCTCAGCGACCAAGCATCCCTCTGTACCGCCGCAAGGTAAGGGGACAGAAACAGAGTGAAAGACAGAGAAAAGCAAAAAAGAGAGAAGTAAGATGAAACAAGAGAGACACTGTCATGTTATGTTGACAGTGGTGAAAGGGTGGGGGAAAGCCGAGAATGGGACTGAAGCCAAACGCAGTGTTCTTATCTGTACTCACAAGATGTTTTCTCTAAGCTATGTTGTCAAACAGAAAAAGGCCTCTGAATGCTGGACTGGGACTCACTGCAGTCACACAATGAGTTTTAAAATGAGAGCCATTAAAGCTGCCCATTGTATATCTGCTGTATATCAGTGAAAGCCAGAGTGTGTACAATGTGTAAGAACAAAACAAGTCAATCGGAACAATGCGAGTCAAATGAGCGATTCTTCTGACACTTTAAAAAAGAACCAGCTCCGATGAGTTCTGCAGTGAGAGACATCTTTAGGTTTGAATAAGGCTGTGGGACAAGTGAACACACACTGCCCAGCAGAATAAGCTGCCTTTAAATATATCATAGGGTTTAAAACATTATAAAGTGTCAAGAAATAAAGAAAGCAAAACATCAACACACTTAAATTATTACAATTGCCACGTAAACTAAAAGCTGCCATCAAAAACCGTGTTGGCATAAGGCACAAAGTGGATCACTGACTAAGTGCAAACAACATACTGTTTGGGAAGTGTTTAGATTTGGTCGGTGAACGCGACAAAGTAGCCCACTGTCTGGAAAATGTTCACCGACAGTGGGTTTTATAATAGTGGGGAATTATTTTCCAGCAATGGTGATTCATTTTGTTGAAAAGAAGAAACACTTTTGGGGATGGGAAATATGGTAAAAATAGCTTTAGACGATATAGAGCATCATATAATACAGGTAATGCAGAAAATCTAATGAGAAATAGTTTCTTTGTACGCTGTAATGGATCAAGTATTTAGGCAGGATTGTCTGGTTTTGGCTATAACCCGGTCATATCAAGGCAGTTCACCACACGTATGCGTAAAAAAACAACGGACTGAAGTCCAATCTTACCACAAAGTAGGGATAGCTGCCGTAATATAAAGAGTGTGGCAAATACATTAGTTTGGACCCATGTTAGACCCAGGACACCAAACTATTTGCTTAGAGGGAAGTGTAGTCCTATCTTCCTCTCTTATGAAATGTACATGTCATCTTTGTTCTCCATTATGATGATGAAAAACAGCTCACCTTTGGACTTCCCTGCCCTTTGCTGCAGCGTGTCATTTCTAACAAGAACAACGACTCAAACTCTTGTTGGGGCACAAAGCGAGGGAGTGGGAGATTACAAAGTTATATCTGAGCAAGGCGGGCACTTAAAAGTCAATAATACTTCTCTGCAACTGTATGGAACTTGGTCAACTGCGTTCATGGCAGCTCTCAAGCAGAGTCACACGCTTCGACACGTGCAACTGTACACCGAGCTATTTAAACAAAGAGTGTGTTGGGCTGCCAGAACTACACATACACACACACACACACACACACGCACACACACACACACATCGAGGACAAAAACTGACAAAACCAAGGCAAACTCATTCTAACAAAGTGGCTACACATACGATTGTTAGGTCTTTGTCTCAGCTAGCCTCACACCATAAATAATTCAGAAAGGCTATTGTGTTCGACAACGTTTTGTATCTGTACTTTGTATTATTGTCCACATTATGTCAAATAAATAACAACAATACAGTAACGCTACAGCTGTTAACTGAGACTGGACGAACTACCTACTAGAGCCGGTTAATCGAGTGTATTGTATCTCTAAGCACTCTGTCATGCAAGGGTGCGTTATCCGATAAACAATTAAAGCCAACAGAATACAATAATACACGTATCATAGCGTTTATACACAGCGTATTAACGTATGTCACCGACCACGGCTAGCTTAATTAACAACACACTTAAGCTAGTTAAGCTAGTTTATAAACACACAATTGACAACTGTTTTTTCTCCTTGACAAATAATTAAATGTTGCTATAGCGTGGGAAACATTCCCCCTGTTTCTAATAGTACAACAAAGAAATACAAACGGGGATGAAAGAGAAAGAGAGATCTCGTAGTGGCCTATTATGTGTGCTTAGCTTGCGAAAAACAGGCAAAGACTCACCAACGTAAAGGTTAACCTCCTCTCACGGCTTCACACTCGATGCATTGACGGTTGTAAACATAGACACACCCAAAAACCAGAATGTGACTGAATAATATTAAGAAATATGATGTTTTCGTCGTCTAGTTCCGTGAGTACTGTCCCGTTGTTCCTTGTCCTCCTTGTTTTAGGTGAGCGGAAACACTCGCTGTGAGAACTCTTACCAGCTGCCTCGCTCTCGCGCGGTCTCCATGGCTACCTCGTTAAAAAGGGCGGATCCTAATCTGTCAAACCAACCACAAGGAGATCGACTTCAAAATAAAAGCACATCATTTTGGTGGGGAAATGGGGGGAGAGACAAAAGAAATCAAGAGATACACGACAAAGAAAAATACACCAACACTTAGAACAATAAAAACTGCAAATATATTGTGCATTATGGTGCATGTAGATAATTTTCCTGTAAAAATAATAATCTTATTGTGTGATGTAGGCCTATTTACCTGTTGACATACAAATTAAATGAATAAAATACGAAATAATATTCCATAGACTTTGGATATATTAATAGTTTACTTTTTTCTACTTGCATCCTGAGCTACATACTACAACTGTGATGTGTTTTGTCTGCCACTGCTTTGTCTGAAATACTTATCTGCAAGCACCTATAGCTAGCTATACCACCTGAAAGGTTCTTACTGTTATTGCAATACCTCCTTCATATTTGATATCTTTTCAATTGGATGTCTTTTTGCTATTTCATTAGATCATCTCAAGTGTTTTTTCTTTATAGCTGTGGCTGCTGGAGAAAATACATCATCACAGTGTGCATACGCACTAAATACACATTTAGATGACTAGCTTCTCGATTCAAAAGGTGATGAATAAATAGACAGGTGATCTAAATGTTCTTATATAGTATGTGTATATTCCATCATATGAAATACATTACTGCAATGTATTTACACAATGTGCTTGAATGAGTGGGTGGAAATCTCACTTTCATTCACTCAGAGGGGAAAGAAAGTGAGATCTCTCATCCCTCCTAACCGCAGTTCACCCTGCACTGTAACCTTGCAAAACGTTGCGTCACTGCAAAGAAACATCAAAAGAAAAAATACTTATTTAGTCCTATACCCAAAGAGAGTTCATAAAGTATTTGAAAACATCTCTGTCATACAACTAAAGATCAGAACACTTTTGAGTCAATCATGTCTTCCACATACAGTATATGAAGTAGTTGTTCGAAAGAAAATTTAATGTGTTATTGATTTTCTGGATCCATGAAATATGGGAAGATATGGCGTCAAAATGAGGTTTATTATAGAGAAATGTTGACTAGGAAGATATAAAACAAATTTGGCTTTAATATGAGAATAATGTCATCTATATCATACAATAATCTTTCTTCTATGCTCTTAGTGATTTTCACTTCACATAAAAAGTAATAGGGGCCTTTAAGAAACTACAGTTATATTATTTAGCAAATATGTCATTGTATTTTTTTAAAGATATTCATGGTATTTGTATGGTTATTCAATTTGCATTTTACAATTGTATGTGTTGTCCTACTTTTAAATATGTATCCCATTGTCCTTTAAATGTTGATCTAAATAATATGTCTCTGTAGTTGTTATGATGTTATTGCACTAAGCGAATGGTGCAAAGGTCCACTCCAGTCATGTGAATCAGTCACATCATGCAACGGTTGTTGGGAAGGAAATTCATATGCAATGACCACAGAGGTGCTACTCCAAATGAAAAGATGTATTCTAGGGTTGAAAGGTGCTACAATGTCTCAATGTCCAAAAACGGATCACTATTAGTTAAAACCATAACACATTTCATTTAATTGGCACAAACATGACTGTCAGATGTTTACAACTCTGCTGATCCTATACAGCTGTTATTAAATCCACTCTTATTTTAATATTGTCTCCCTCCTTGGTTTCTATACATTCCCTCCTGTCTTATTTTCCTCTCCTTGTCTATAAAGGATTCCTCTCTCTTCGTGATCCCAGAGGGTTTGAATCCCTGGCACTGGCCAACCAATGATTAATTAGATAAACTCCTGCTAAACACCTTGACATGTCACTGAGTCCTGCAAAGAACCTCTGACAAGAAACCCACAGGTCTAACCCTGGAGATAAACAAGATTCTCCTGAGCCCAGTGTCCTTCCATTTTGCTCATTAATATGAAAATATATGCAGCAAGCTGGTTCAACTAATCAGATAATCTATTCCGTAGGGGGAGCATGTGTTGTAAATAGTTTCCTATCTCGTAGGCTTCTGTTGTCTTCGTGTTTACATGCCGAAAACACAAGGGCATGCTCCAAATACCCTGTACTGTGACAGCAGAGCGGAATTAAATGATAGTCTTGTACAGGAAGGACGTCTTAACCTTTAAGGCTGTTCACTCTGAGCCAATGCTGACATCTAGTGGCTGCTTCATCTCCCTACACACACATATAGGTTCATGAGTCAGTTATATTATTTGGCAAATAATTATTACTTTTTAAAAATGAAATCGTGAGCCTATTTGATGTTGTCTTTGATAACAACACTAGAACTTAAAAATCTCTCGCTAGCGGCCTATTAGCAAGTGTCAGCTGAACAAAAAATGGACGGTTACATTCCGCAGGGGGGTAAACCCCTGCTTTCCTTGTCATACTGCCACACATTTCTCTCTAGATTTTATTTTTATAGTATTTTAAAATAGTACTAAAAGAAATAATGAACACACAAAGTGCACTTACTAAACAAACGAACTGACATCACAGGCAGCTGATCCAGAAAAAACGGTTTACCCCTTATTTGGCAAAGTGGTTGCGCCCAGTTGCCTTCGTTTTCACAGTCGTTTCAATTTCTTCTGTCTACAAACTGCTTCGTAGTTGTACAGGTAACATCATGCTCTTCAGTCATTTATATACATATATATCGATAGGTATTTACTGGTATTTACTATCCATCATGTAACGTTAAAGTTAGCTTTCATGTTTTGGTTGCTACTCGTCGCAGTTTCTTTTTACATTTGGAGACTAGTGAGTTGTGTTATGTTGACCTTTTACCCAGTTGGACACTACGGTGTCCCTGAATGGAATCTTCATCAACTGAAGACCCTCACAGCATTTCTCAGTGAGCTAATTTACAGAGACAACTCCATCACGTGGTCAATTACAGGCCATAGCGTGTTGTTTATATATAACGTCATTGGTCTGTCGTGTTTCCGTGATTGTACTGATTTTACACCCTAATTTCTTCCTGATTGACTCAAAAATGCATTCATTCATTCATTCATAGAGAAGCCCACAGTCCTTAAACCAAACAGTTGGTTCAGTGCTCTTGCAGCTCATTATGTTGTGACCAGATTCAAGGCACCACAATGTGAATTTAAAACGCCCCAAAATATGAGAAGAGCTCCTAGGCATATAGGTGCCTGAGATAAATATAAATATACATTTTGGGTCCCACTAATTAAGTAATAGAAACAAAACCTTTGTACAAAAGAATCAATTAATTTGCTTACAAAGAATATTGCTGTGCAACCTCAAATAAATGTTCAAATATTTCAATTTGAAGACAATTTAAAGATTTGTGAAAATCCAGACAGCAACGTTTCTCAGTTACACTATTTTGATACTATGTTTGTTATGAATATGTTTAATTAATGAGATGATATTTGACAGAACTGAGGCACACAGAGGTGTATTTTATGTGAAAACTATAACATTCATTTCATTCTTTACTGCCTTGACAGATGCAGTGACAACATAGATGTACCAACAAGACTAGAACAAAGGCTTCAGGGCTACTCAGGCCATTACAGTGAGTCACTGTTCCCATTTCGAAGAGCTCAAATGGCTTACTCACAGATCCGCTTGAAAATTCTCCCCAGCGTTCGCTGTCTCTTCGATAAACTGGTGCAGGTAAAAGTGGAGGGACTCGCTCCTCACAAACATGTTAAATTGAGATCCAAGCTCGTTGACGACAGAGGGGTGATTTTCAAGGCTTCTGCCCTGTACAAAGCAAATGAAGCCGGCCTGGTGGATGTCTGCCACGCGCCCTCTCTGGGAGGAAGTTACACCGGAGTGGAGCCCATGGGTTTGTTTTGGGCCATGGCGCCGGAAACACCACACAGTAAACTCCTGAAGAAGAATGTGCTAAGCCCCACAGTGGTGGAGATAGAAGCACTGAGTGCAGAGACGGGTGAGGTCTTAGCCTCTGAAACCAACGAGAGAGGATACATGACAGAGGGGATGAAGAGAGTACCTGTGCAAGAGGGAAGAATACGGGGAGTCCTCTTCGTACCACCGGGTTAGTTGTGTTCTGTAGATGATAGCTGAGAGGTAGGAGACGTGTCAGTGTTCTTCTTAGCTTTACCTCTCCCTTTTTAATTCTTTTTTGTTTTCTCCAGGAAAGGGTCCGTTCCCAGGAATAGTGGATTTGTACATATTTGGGGGACGTCTTACTGAGCCCAGAGCCAGCCTCCTGGCAAATAAAGGTTTTGTTGTCCTGGCACTGGCCTATATGGGCTACGAGGATTTACCAAAAAACCCTAAAAAGTTGGATCTGGAGTACTTTGAAGAGGCTGTAACATATCTGAGGAAACAGCCAGAGGTTAGTGTTGAAGATTGAAACAGTAAAGATAATCACGTTTTATAATATTTGAATGTCCAGTTTATCTTTGCTTTGTGGCGCAAATATTGTTTTGTATTTATTGAGAAAAATGTGTCCAATTAATTAATAACATATATAGTCAGAATGTGTTAGATACATAGGCCCATATTTGACTTAACTGTGTCAATGTTGCCATCTACTGGCTACTTTCTGATGACACAAAGATATTTCTAGAGCTAAAACTATTAGTTGAGTCAGTGAACAGGAAATTAAAACTGATTATTTAATTCCAGCATCTTATTATGCAAATGTGTTCATCTTATGTGATAATCGACTCGATGTGTTTAAATTTTGGACCGTTTGGTCAGGCAACATTTTTCAGTATTTTCTGAGATTTTTTGTTTTAGATGAAACAACTAATTGATTAATTAGTAAAATAATCCACAGATTAATAAGTAATGAAAATGATCGTTATTTCCAACCCAAGTTTGTTTGTGCTCTGGTTTCACATATAATTGAAGCATGGTTGTTCTTTACTGGTCTTATGAAATAGGACACATTAGCAGGGATACACGATTATCAACCCAATACCTTTCTGTGCAGGTCAACGGTCCTGGGATTGGCATCATATCAATTTCCCACAGCGGCGGTTTGGCGTTGTCCATGTCTTCATTCCTCTCTGGGATCTCAGCGACCGTCTGTATTAATAGCTGCAGTGCAAATACAGTGATTCCTTTACACTACAAAGACACCGTTATCTCTCCGCTTGTCCCTGTCATAAAGAATATCAGAATCACAGACTCTGGGCTTGTAGATATACGCGACGCCTTACCTGACCCGTCCTTGGAAAAGAACAGGGCCTCATTGATTCCAATTGAACGTGCCAGCTGCCATTTCCTGTTTGCTGTTTCTGAAGACGACCACAACTGGAACAGTGTTTTTTTTGCCAAGCAGGCCACCGCAACGCTGAGAAATCACAGCAAAGGGCATTTTCAGGTGGTAACTTACCCTAAAGCCGGACACTTTTTGGAAGTCCCTCACATGCCTCATTGTCCGTCTGGGTTTCATGCAGCGGTTGGGACCGAGGTGGTGTTTGGCGGGGAGCCAAAGGCTCACTCTGAGGCTCAGCTGGACCTGTGGGAAAGAGTCCAGGAGTTCTTCAAGAGCCACTTGGACAACAAGGGCACTTGTTAGCAAGCAATGCATGCTTCAAGTGTATCAAGCATCCAAAATTGGCCGTCATTAGCGATGCTTAACCTTGCCTGTAGATACTCATGGAGGAGGCTTTCAAAGGGATATTAAATGATACTGTGTGAGTATTCTCATGGTGAAGCTTTGGACTCTTCTCGAGCTGAAACAAACTCAGCATACTTTGATTCCAACTGGATTCCCCCCCCCAATAAGCTTTAATGCGTCACACGACACAAAAATATGTTTTCAGATATATATTTTTTTCACTCAGATATGTTGACTTGTCATAGCAAGGAAATCACAGGTGGAGCTCGTACCGATAATAAGGATGCCTTTGTTGTTGCAATGAGCGAGGACCCTGATGCATCTAAATGGTAAACATCATACTGTTTTTTAATTTTTTAAACACACCTCTTTGATTATTTGTGTTATGGAAAAGACCTGAGTTACAATTTATTTAATGTTATAATCAACTCACTTCGATAGGGATCATATTGTGACAATGTTATCACCGCTTTGCATTGAACAAAATGATTGTTTTACTGTAATTCTGTGCACATTTTGCCACAACATGATAAATATATACTGTATATTGATATCAGAAAAAAAATTGCTTATAATATAAATAGATTGATGTCGCATATTGCCAAGCTAATGGTGTGAGTATTGGTACACTTACTGTTCTCTTGTTATTTTATTAATACTCTGATGTCACCGTTGTTGGAGGTTTAGTAAACTAAACGCACAATAAACAATTTAGATGATGAAGTTATAACGTGTTGATCTATGAATTACAGTCCTACACTAAGCCAATTAGTATCCTCTCATTGTTTCGCCCTGTATTCGTGATGCTTCCTCTTACACCAAACTGTGACATTCATTAGTCTCCCAGAATTAGTCACTTGTGTAAATGTTGGTATCTAGTGGCAGGCAAGCCTTCCTATATTTATCTTTATTGTCTATTAATGGGATGTGTGTTTTGTCACATACAATATAATGTGTAACGGATCTTTATGAAAGATTGTGAAACAAAAAACACATATTTTTGAATTAACATGAATCCCACTGTTCTGGTTTTATTCCCCTGTGAAAGTTCGAAACCTTGGAATTTTACATGAAGGGCTTTTGTCTGTTTCAAAGGGAAGTGAATGTACTTTGATGGTGTAAGCTTTTCTCTTAGGGATTTTATGAACAATGCAGCCGGCATCAAAGAAGGGAGCGTTACTCTGAAGTTGGAGACAAAGACGTCTTTCTCGGTTACATCCACCTGAATGAATCGAGTCTTTACAGAATCTGGTTTGACGTCTGTCTAAATCACACCATGGAGGAAAATACTTCATTTGTTGAGCCAATGCCAGACAGACATCTCGACTGATGAATGCTTGAAAATTGGAATACAGGGAATGGGTTTTTTTCAGTATAATAAGCATTATTAGCAAAAGAAAATGAGTTATGATTCTTGCTTCATTTTCAGAAGAGATTTTCTAATTCTAGTCCTGCTCTAGAGAGGTTTATTTTTGAGTGTTTCTTGATCTGTTTCTCTACAATGGGTCCCTTGTCGGCTTGCACAAAGTAGACAAACTCACTGTTATTAATTAAAACCTAAAGTAAATTATGAAACACTGTTTTGCTTTCCTGAGGTATGTCCTCTCCTATTTTGGTATTTTCAGCAAACCAAAGAGGAATGTCACGAGTTCCTGCGAGTGGACAGTGTGAGAAAGACAACATCAGGGTTGTGGTTGAGATTAAAGCCCATGTTATGTCTGGTTACCTCTGTATATCTGAAAACAAGCTTCTAGGTTTGAACACAGATTGATAGTGTGCCTCATCATTAGAAAGTGTATACCCAGAGACCCATGCAAGTTTGGAAAATTAAAAAAAAGCTGAACTATCTTTACATCCCAACAGCATTACTGATCAGTGTGTAGGTGCTCCCTTTCCTCCCCGTGCTTGTCAGACTCAGTGGAGTTCCTCGGTGCTCTATGAAGAAGAAGAGGAGGGGCTCCTCCTCTCCGGTCTTGCACCTCACGCTGCGAGATATTCAGTAGCAAGGTCTCTGCACACCAGTCAGTCTACCAGTTCCCAGCCTGTGAAACAGCGCGCAGCCCGAGTACCAGCCAGACAGCCACAATCTTTTTTTCTTCTTTTTCTGGACGGCTAGTGTTTTCTCGGCGCCGCGAGCTCGTTTCGCAACCCGGCGTGGTTTTCGGTGCACCGGGTGTCACAGAGCAGCATCCTGCTAACCTCACTGCGCACGGATCTCAGTGACTGATTTCTGCCATGCATCCGCATTGGGGGATTACGGGTCATGCAGCATAGGCTTTATTATTTCCCTGTGCTTTGATCCATGCTCATTACACCATGTTTTTTCCTGATTTGTCAGACATATGTAGTGACAGAAGATCATTTCATTGTTGGCAGCTGCACGCATTGCCTGCCTGTGTCTGTCTCACATCTTCACTGACATCTCTGCTTGCACGCTGTGTTTTGTAGACCCCCCCCCTCTCTCCCCTAATATTTTTTTGGGGGGGGGCAAGGCATCTCCATCATCCTCACAGAAATGCCACACCAATGCTGGCCGCTGACATCCCGCCAGCCTTCTTAAAAACAACACAAATAAAACGTCCGGATCGCGGGGTGAACCGACATGGATAGCGGGAGCCGGGTTGCGACGGTCGGAGATGGTGCAGCCAATTTCACAGCAGCCCGCCTCTGGCTGGATCTCCTGAACGCTTCGAGCCCGCCGACGTGGTGGGACAGCAGCCCGCCACGCGAGGGGACCGGGCTGGGCGAGCAGCAGCGCCTCGTCCGAGAGCAAGCCTACCGGGACTTCACCACCACCATCCAGGTTTTTATCCTCATAGGTTCGCTGCTCGGTAAGTCGCCTCGAACAAATACACGTATTGTGCACGCTCGACAGAAAGGCCCTAAAACCCACCTAGAACCCTGCAGACAGGGAAAACCTTACTCTCGTTTTATCAAAGCATCCACTATGTATGAGTCAAGCGATCCTCGTGGGGACACCCTTTCTACTAATTTAAATATCTCAGGAAATTTGCAACACCAGACAACTCTTCCAAAAAAGTTGCCCAATCACTACCTGAAAGACTTTAATATGAAGCAACGGTATGGTGTCTTCTGTACCAGCATGTGAAAAGATGGTCAATGTCATAAAAGCTGAATTGGGTTGTACACATTTTACTCGGCTTCGTCTAAAGAATGCCACAAACAATGATAATGTTCCATATTGTTGAATTGTAAACATCATAACCCAACAGCCCATTAAACTCGGAAAAAGCCGGGATGCCCTCTCTCAAAACTCTTCAAAATTATTGAGACTTCACTGCACATCACAGTGTGGGATGCAATTCATTTTCCTGGCATGGTGAGCTCATTTTTACTCGATAGGTGGGAACATGATAATAGTTACACGTTCAAGCTATATACCAGGTCAGACTCGTGCGCGTCCTCCACATTTTCATTAGAATGTGTTGTTTTTAAATTAAAGGGAAGTCAAGACACACAACAGGCCTTTGGTCATTTTAGAACATTTGTGTCAGCAGCCTTGTTCCTATAGCATTGTTGTATGCACTCAAAAGTAAAATAGCGTATGAGGTCCCAGGACTCCTCATCTTGAGCTGTCTGACTATGTGTCTGCTTTTTCATTCATGTATTAGTTTGCTGCTAACTTGAATATTGGATATTGAACAGAAGTGTTACATAAATAGGTTAATTAACAGATTCAAGAATCAAACATGGACTTAAACAAAAGTGTATTCGGTGCACGTTGGCACAAGCTGCAGTGGTAAACTTGACAGGTGTTAGCTACCTAGTTCACCATGAAATTGGCGAAACTTACCGTACACATTTTGAGCCAAATCTGTACTGGCTCCGTTACAAATATTCCTGCTTCTGCCAGTAGAAGCACCGGCTGCTGATGATGGAAGAGAGGAAGGAACCGTGTGAATTGATGAGCCGCACCAAGACATCAGTCTCACAGTTTGACATCCCCTCCATCTCATCGGCAGCCAGAAAACATAATCCTCCTGCTTAAAATGAGCGCCGCACATGAATGTGTTATTTGTCACAAATGTGGCTATAACATCCTGTCTTCTCGCTGCTGAAAACACACTCAGCCATGATTGCTAGTGCTGTTTGGAAAAGTATGGACTCAATCACAGGTTGCACAAATAGCTCACTGCGATGAAAGGGATGAAGCGGACTCCAAAAAAGGCACAAAAAAAGAAAAAAAGACTCTGACTCAGTACCACCTCCTGCTGTGCAGTGCAATGTGGCAGGGTCAGGAAAGGCCTTTTGGCAGCATTGCTCAAAATGTCTACTTTTTCCTCCGTATGTTGTGTATATGGCTTGAAAAACAAAGGATATATATGTATTTTCCTTTTCAAACAACATCATTCAGATGTGCAAAATGTAAAATAAGAAGGAAATCCAGTATACTCTTTAAAGAGGCTGCTGTCTTAAAGGCAGAGGTTCCCACAGTACTTGAACGCACCGCTGCAGGATGTAAATAAAGCATGTAATAAACACAGGCATGACCCTTGAACATTTTAGCAAAGGATTCAAGAGTGACGCAGTGAAGTCAGTGTTTTCTAGCAGATTGTCAAAGCCACTGTTTGAAGAATTAAATGTTTGACTTTGGCGCCCCAAGTGGTCGCCCCAAGAAAAGAAAACTGTAGCTCACAGCAATTACAGACTGATAAGTTCTGCAAATATTTTTAAATATATAAACAGAAATAATGCAGATGATATAAATATGTGTTGGCTTTTGCTAATGACATAATAACCTCAGGCGAGTGAACTGAAAAAGGTGAGCGTTACCTTTTCCGTGACACAGAGTGTATGACCATTAAGTGTAGAACCCAAACTAACGTGAAAGATGAAATGCATCAAATACCTGAATCAATTTTCGGAACAGTCACCATTCAAACAGCCACTGTTTGGAGAGTCATTTCATTCCAAGTAAAAAGAAATCAAAGCAATTTCATGAGCAGCAATGAATAATACAACTGATGGTGGTCCAGAGGGCTGTCTTTGAGTTTTTGGTTTTCATGCCACTTTTCAAGACGTCAAAAAGGGTTTCTGTTGTATTTTAAAAGCCAGGATACATCATCAGACAGCACTTATTATCAGAGGTGCGCAAGATATGTTGGTGTCATCATGTAGGCAATTTTGTTTTCCTAATGGGGAGAATTGCACTTTGTGTTGGTGTTAAACTCATGTTATTATTAGTATAACATCATTATCATTCCCCTAAAACGCACTGATTAGCTTTGGACTAATTTACTAGAGCGAGGCTAGCTGTTTCCACTTTCCTCCAGTCTTTATGCTAAGCTAGGCTAACAGTGTCCACTTTATTTGACGCACAGACGATTTCCCAAAATGTTGAAGTAGTCTGTAAACTATCAGGCAATTGTGATTTTTCCCAATAAAGCATAGATCAGAGTTTGACTGTAAATCTGAATAATGTGCCACGGTGTGCGAACGCACCATCTAATTTAACCGAATATAATCACGTCTGTGAGGAATGACAGTACGTGGATATCTGGCTCTCTATTTCTTCTGTTATACCATTCATAAATAAGTCTCTCATTAAAACTAAATTGACTATAACACCACCGGGATAGAAGAAGGTGTCAAGGGTGTTAATGATGTTTCACACTTTGAATTTGAACGGCTACTGCTACTATGTTTGACACCTGGACAAGTCGATAACAGCAGCTTGTTCCCACCAAAGCAGAGATGACACAACTTGTTCTCATGTGTTTGAAGCAGACAAACAAAACGACTTTTAAGTATTTTCAGTGTTTCACGTCGCTGCCTATTGGACTGCCATTTGTTAAGTGGAAAAAAAGCAATCTTGTTTAGTGCTTGCTCTTTCTCCCCAATGGCTGCATTGAATATGGTTGCCAAGGTGTTTCTCAAGTGCCAAGTGAGTATTTCAGGCACAAAGGGACAAAGTGATGTTACAGACGGCGCAAGGTCTGATTATACAAGAGTAAATGTCCCAATGTTGTGCATGAAGGCACTTACAAGGACACGTTATTAGTTAGTTACAGTTATGTGAAGCACTTTGCAACCCAGGACTTAAAAACCACCACACCAATTAAAAAAAAGCACTCTTTAGTGCTGTTTGTTTGTTTCGGTGGTAAATGATTTAAAATGTGCGTAACAGAGCATGTGTGTGTAAAATGAAACACTGTGTTGGAACTGTAATCCCACCTACAGTATGTGCACTTGCATTGCAACCACAGGGAGGGTGTGACATCACACTATTGCACCTGTACCAAAGTAAGACTCTCACTTAGACTCAGCAACTGTCAAGAGCCTCTCTCTTTGCAATAATATTAATACTGAAAGGTATCACTTCTCTTCACTTATCCAATGAAATATCTCAACAACCGTTTGATGGATCAACATGGAATTCAGTACACACATTCATGTTCCTCACAGGATCAATTGTAATAACTTTGGGGATCCCTTGACATTAAATCCAGCGCCATCTTCAGGTAAAAGTTTCAATTTGTCCAATACTTTGGTTTATGACCTGCAAAATGAATGACATTCCCATCAACCACAGCTGTACTTTGTGTTTCGTGCCAAGTAGCAAAAATGGGCATACTAAACTAAGATGGGGAACTCTGTGCTTGCTTAGCATCGGCATGCTAGCATTGTCATTGGGACCACATTTTCCTCTTCTGACGATGCACATTATGACTTTTGGCGCTGAGAAGCAGAGACTGACGGGGGCGTGACGCCACAAAACGGAGGTCGGATGAATGCAAAACATGTTTGACACAGAAGACTGCTGTCTAACCCTTCCCTACCCAAGTTCTTATAAAACAGTCATTTGTACTGGTTTTTAAAAACAGCACCGGCAAACACTGTTGACAATAGGGGTGCACATCAGGAAACAGACAAATGGGTTGTTTTGTCATTTACTTTGGAGGTGTGTTGCATTGTCCATATTTCTCTCCTGAAAAGACGTGTATTTGTGCTAATTTCATGATCCCATTTGAGTGGGCCTCACAGAATGCAGAAGCTGAGCGAAGGCTGAGCATTAATTACCACTACATTAGGGATTCCCCGAAATACTACTCCTGTGTGCTGCTGTGAAATCACACACTTTGACACAAGCAGTCAAGCACACTGTGTTCCCTCAAAAACAGCTTCTTCCAGCTCCATCTAAAACCTCTCAGGCCAAATTCAACAACCTCATCCACCATAATGGCTTTTTACATCTAACCTTGCTCTTATAGCTTTTATATCCCAGTAAGCTGTAGCAACCACCTTTTTTTTTCTTGCAATTGATGGTGAGTGCTTGTATTATCCGACTGTGTCCTGAACATTTACAGACATCAGAAACAAATAACCTTTTGAAGTAATAACGTATAGTTTGCCTCACCAGAGAACATCTTGCTCCGTCTCCCACAGTGAGAGCACAGCTAACACTCTGTGGGTAATTACATTTGGAGGAGGCTGGTATCACACGTATCCATGTGTGACCTGACATCAGTCAGTGCGCCGCAGGGAGTATAAAGTTCACCTTTTTAAAACCTTATTAACAAATCATTACGGTCTCATTGCTCCAAATTATGGAGGGACCTGAACATGGAAAAGCCACCGTTTCCCCGCTTGCACCTGATCGTGTGCTGTCTCACTCAGTCTAATTCATTTCTTCTTGGTAATTGTTAAACCACCCTGAACATGTATTGTCATTGTCTTGCCTTGCTGTATGGCGCAACATTTTTTATTGTTTAGGCCTTTAAAGATGCACCAGTTTATAGGTAAATTAAATGATGTTGCATAGTGTAAGATGAGGAGCTTTGAATCAATGCGTATATTATATTATATTGTTAAAGCTTTACGTCTCACTCCTCGTTTATCCAATCCTTTCACTCCTTAATTTATTCTATCACAGTCTCTGTGCTGGATGGACGTGAGGAAGACTTGGTAGATAAATCATCAATCCATCTATGCTAACTCACATAGATTAGACGGACACACACCCGTCTTTCATACCAATGGGCAATTTAGAGTCTCCAGGCGACCCAACTACTTCCTCTCTGAACTGTGGGAGGAAAATGAGGGCTCAGAGAAACCTCAACCTCAACAAGCATGACAAGAGGATACAGCAACCTCAAACCTTTATAACTGTTTTAGTTGTTAAAAGATGCATTCACACCACAGTCCGGAGCGATTTCCTCCAATTTGGAAGGGTTTCCTTTCTTTACTTACATTCAGTAAGTAGGTGATGACAATAGAATTATTAAGGTGCCAATAATAGCACCAATATAGATTTTGGTACTTTTACACAGTGAAAAGCTAAAGAAATGTTTAAATAATACCAATAAATGATATAAATTAACAACTAAGTCAGCATTCCTTTATCATTAAAAAGCCTCAAAATAAGCCTGTCTGAACTGATAATCTCTTTGGTTGCATGCCGTCATACCAGATTACTCTTCTAAATAATTGTTCCCTACTCCCCTCCAGGAAATGCCTCGGTGTTGTGGTGCACCTGCTGCACAAACGTCTTTAAATCCGTGACCAACCGATTCATCAAGAACCTGGCGTACTCGGGTATCTGCGCCGGCCTGGCGTGCGTTCCCTTCGACGTGGCGCTCGGAGCCAGCCCTCGCTGCTGCTGGTGGCTTCACACTCTGCTGCTCTGCAAGGCCATCAAGTTCCTCCATAAGCTCTTCTGCTCGGTCACTGTGCTCAGCTTCAGTGCCATCGCACTCGACAGGTCAGTGAATCATACACATAGTTAAAGTAGACGGAGATGATACAGTCGTAGATTATTGTGTTTTTTTTTTTTTTTAAGAAGAAATCGATTCTCCGATCAGTTTATCAATACATTGCTTGGCCGAGACATTCTCTTCCTGACTTGGAAGTACAGACATCCACGCTGCACATATGGAGCAACATCAAACTGGGGCTAAACTCTGGAAGATTGTTTTTGTTGTAGGGGAGAAAGCCTTTTCAATTTCCATCTACACCCTGTTGTGTTGACGAGAGGCGTGGGGTCGATGGAGCATGTGAACGCCACGCTGAGCGGCCGTGTCCCAGGCATCCCTGCAGCGCTAAAAGCTGCAGCCAAAAGCAGCCTGAGATGACTGCTACACACGCACACACACACACACACACACACACACACACACACACACACACACACATGCTGATGCCAATGCTGATCATGACTTTACTGATCAGGAAAGTCCAAGCCAATTAAATTGACAATACTAAACCCTAATCTCATTAAATGTATCTGTTTATTGTCTAAAACTTTTGAATATTAGGTTACAGAAAAAGAAAGAATCTGTCTCAAAAACACAATTCAAACCACCAAACACCAAATTCACAGAGATATTACCTTGCTGGCTAACTACTGTAGCTATATGCTAACACGCTAGTCAGCGTGAAAGCAGAAAGCACCATGCTCTCCTCTGTAGCGGTCACTGAACAAGCTAGCTCGGACACTAATGGGACGATAAGTTCAGACAGTTTAGACATTTAAAAATATGTGTTTGTACCATCGACTGTCTTATAACTGTACTCACGAACAGATATGTATACTAACAGATAACATAACACCAGCGTGTATTCAAATCCTGCAGTTTCCTCAAACTGTATCAGACTATATCAAAAAATATATATTGGATGACTTCAGTATATAACGGCTACTGCACTAATCAGCCTCATTCTCCATAATTTAAAATCAATGAAAAACTTCATCACACCACCGACTACAGGAAAACACATGTAAGTTTGAGTATCATTTATTTTTTATGGTGAGTGTAGTCAGATTGTGCATTGTTGCAGCTTCGCCTCAGCCTTAGTTTCACTGCTACAAAGATGATTTTGCCTCCATAGCAACTAATGCAGTCAAACCGATGAATTATTAATTTTCAAGGAGGGCATTCGAGGCTGTGTATGTACAGACGGGCTGAGACTGCAGCAGTTATCGGCTGGTTAACACACACACACTCATACGCTAGCGTGTAATGATGAAGAGACACTCTAGACAAATAAGCAAGTCCTTCACGTGATTTGTTTAATTTATTACTATGGAACAACAGGATGATAGACAATCTGCATATAATATTATATATAAGACGGACAAAAGATCTAGTTTGTAGGTGTGCTATGAAAAACAACAACACATGATTTCAACCTCTACACTAGTTAATATACCACACATAAAACATAGTTAATATATCTCCCCATTTGATGACCAGCTTACAGATTTTTATGTTGCCATTCAAAGATATTTTTTTATTGATTACATTTTTTGGGGGGATTGTTCGCTAGCATTTGATAGCTTGAAAAATGGCAGATTTGTCTTTCATTTAATATTTTCATTCTTTATAGAAATATACAGGGGCAAATCATATTAATAAGCCTCTGTAATACAGTAAATCTATAATAAATATTTATAATATACAGTAAAAAAACACCACCATACATATGTTAAGAGGCACAAGGATACATTTGGTGTCTACAGATTTGACGAAAAACAACTGGGCCTCTTTCCTTTTTTTTTTTTACCAGTATCTCAGCTTATATAATAGGTGCATGCATTTTATATTGTACTCTCTTTCCAGCAAAACCACTTGAAGCTCTACTGTGGTGAGAGGTTCAGTTTTTCAGTTTAAAAATAGTGGAAATGCATTTTCAGAGCAGGATACAGATTCTGCATTTCCATTTGTATTTCCGCGTAAATCATCTAATGAGAGATCTTCATAAGCTGGATCAGCACCACTGCGTGCAGGCGACACTCCAGTCAAACAATAAACGCTTTTCACATCAGACGTTTTGACTTGTCATCGACAGAAAAGCACAGGTGTTACTAACAATAATAATTGATGGCTGAGTTGTAAAGTGTCTCAATAAGCCATGACGGTGGCAGCTAATTAGAATTCAGCCCTCATTATTTAAGTTAACACCTGGGGTTTTCCAGCTGTGACCTGTCAAAATTTCCTCTGTGAAAAAGACCCACACGTCTCTTTTTGTCTTTGTGTCTCTAGGTACTACTCTGTGCTGTACCCGTTGGAGAGGAAGATCTCAGATGCAAGATCCCGAGATCTGGTCATCTATATTTGGATCCACGCGACGGTGGCGAGCCTTCCTGTGTTCGCCGTGACCAATGTAACAGATGTGTACGTCACCTCGTCCTGCTCCGATGACCACGCCCGCTCCCTGGGCCACAAGGTGTACGTGTTGATCTACAGTGTCACCACGGTGATCCTCCCCCTCGCTCTGGTCTTCCTCTTCATGCTGCTGATCCGCAGAGCGCTCAGTTCCAGCCAGAAGAAGAAGGTGATAATCGCCGCGCTGCGGACTCCCCAGACCAGCATCTCCATCCCGTATGTGTCCCAGAGAGAAGCTGAGCTACACGCCACTCTGCTGGCTGTGGTGCTGGCCTTCTCAGCCTGCAGCGCCCCCTATGGGGCATTGGTGGTTTATCGCACCATTTTGGCAGACACTACAGAGCTACCCATTTCGCTGTACCTGACGGCCCTCTGGCTACCCAAGGTGTCCCTGCTCACCAACCCACTTTTGTTTCTGACTGTCAACCGCTCAGCGCGTCATAGCTGGCTGGACCTGCTGGCCAGGATTCACAGACGTTACAGCCGCCGAAACGTGGTCAGCACCGGGGGTCTGGCCTCTTTAGGAGCAGAGGGTGTGATCGGGGAGCCGGTGGGACTGGAGACAGCCGGCCGCTCTGGGAGCCAGCTTCTGGAGATGTTTAACATTGGCCAGCAGCAGATCTTCAGGCCCTCTGAGGAAGAAGGGGAAGAAGATGACGCAGAGAAAGAGAACCCTTGTCAAGGATCAGAAGGCTGCTCAGGGCCTAAAGAGGACCTCAAGGGTGGGTCGAGACTAGGAAGCTTCAGAGGGGAGGCGATCACCAAAAAGGATCCTCTGCAGGGGACAGGGGGAGGGCTGATCATCACCAAGGACGGCCCTCCTGCAATCGTAGCACCCCGGGCCTCTCCGGTCCACACGTGTGCTTACGCCTCTTCATCTCAGGTGGCACCAGCTACACCCACAGAAGCTGAGGACTCCACACAATTTGGTTTTGGACCCTTCGAGCTGCCACCTCAGTGGTTACCAGAGACCAGGAACAGCAAGAAGAGGCTGCTGCCTCCGCTGGGTAACACACCCGAGGAGCTGATCCAGACCAAACTGCCCAGGCCGCGGCCTGAACGGAGAATCAGCAGGAACAACAAGGTCAGCACCATCTCCACTGTCGACCCGTGAACTATTCTGGCCTCTGACCTGCAACACTATACACAGCTCATTACAGGGAAGGCCTCTTGGGTTGGCCAGGCCTTTACAGGATATTGATGTGTCAAGTTGCTCGGTTGATTTGACCCCTTTTAGAGGTCCAGGTTTTTTCACTTAACTGCACAAAAGCTAGACGCCTGAAGCACTGCAGTTTTCTTATTGGCAAGAATCAATTTCATATTGAAAATATTTACAATGCTGTCTGCTCATGATTAAGGACTCCTACAACGGCCGCATGATTATTGAGAAGGCAGATACCTTTTTTGAATCTTCTTGTTTTGATGAGAGCTGGCATCAGTAGTTTAATGAACACTGTACAAATCCAATTATCCTGAGAGATGCACTGATACAAAATAATCTATTTCCATATAATAAAAAAAATCAAGCGAGGATATTGAATCTCCAAAACAAAACATTTTGTACTCTGTTGCACTCGGTAAATGAACACGTCTAAGTGTCAGTCCTTTCAGTTAACCCTTTGTCTCACTTTTGGATAATATTCAGATTTCTTCTAATGTGGTAGATGTTGTTGTCATTTGTACTTTAAATGTATGTGGATTTGATAAAGACGAAAAATGCAGATGTGTGCAAATACATGTGAAAAGAATGTGTTACTTTCAGAGTTTAATTGGTGTTCAGACATGTTTTCTGGATCACAAAGTGCATCAAATATACAGAAAAATGGAAGAATATTACAAATGTGCTTTGATAAGAAAAGAAAATCCAGGTCGGGCATCTTTTAGTCCCCTTCAATCAATATTATTGATTCCTCCCAGGTTTCCTGAAAATCAATTGCTCAATCAAATGACTGTAAAATAAAGCAAATAAGATCTACAAGCGCGCATTTTTATATCACCAAATAGTCTGTGAAATGGTTTTCAATTTTCAATTTCACTGACACATGGTACTGTTTGCTCTGCCTCCTTTGTGATGCATAATTCAACAGCGGCAGCCTCAACCTGAAGCTTTGGATGAGGTAAACAGAGCTGGGCAACACTTCAAATATTTGTCAAGGCGTAACTCTCTTCGGGGCTACCCACAATCCCCTGCTATGTCCACAAAGGACCTGAATCTATACTGCATCCTACCCATGCTGTTATCAGGCACAATTGTGCAGTCATGCCTGACTGGAAACAGTATCCATTGCTGCCACAGGAAAGAGATGAGTAACATGTTTATTGTTGTACGTCTGCTTCGGTGATTACTGTGTTAGGATGTTATTGAAGACTACAGTAGCCGCTGAGATAGATATACAGCACTGAGCCCAGAATGCTGCTGGTTCAAAGGGTGACACGAAAAGCAGGAAGATCATTGATTTGTATCTGGTGTGAGTGTTTAAGAATACTCTGGCCTTGGCTCATATTTATTATATTATTGATTTGATTCAAGGCTTATTAAAACAATCTTTAACTCCTAGAACCATTAAGACCTTGACAACATAGATACAGTGCAGTAATATGTGTGTATATATATATAATGTACAGTATATCAGTGGTTCTCAGACTTTTTCTGTCTCGCCCCACTTTGGAGGAAGAAAAATGTTCATGCCCCACCGCCCCAACAAAATTGTAACAAAATGGTCTATGTTGAATGGGAGTTTCATTGTCTCCCATTACCCCCAGATGGGACCGTCTCGTTGCAGAGAAACAAGCTCAGGGCTGCCACTGATTCAGCGTTATTGTGAGTTGTATTTATTTATGCATTTTATATTTGTTTTCATGCCGGTCGTATCATGTTATTTCGTCGTGTTTTTCCGCCACACCTTGAAGGCCGGTCCGTGAAAATATTGTCTTACATGAAACCGGTCCGTGGTGCAAAAAAAGGTTGGGGACCACTGGTATAGAGTGTCAGGTGCACCCCGATTGGCAGTGCAGATTGTCTGGGGAGGGACAACAGCACAGCCAAAATATACAGCCGACATGTCGGAAAAAGTCATAGCAGTAAAATGTAAATTGTGTAATCTTTTCTTCCAATCAGAGCAGTGAAATGTGCCACCCAAACAAAAAATAATTTGTAGAAAGACTTATTATTATTTGTCTTAACTATTATCCACCAAATAATTCAGTTCGAGACAGTTTTAAGGTCTTAAATCCATCAATTGCCTAATTCCCAAACTCAGGTGCAGGTGAGATTTGGGTGTGGCTATAATTACCACACAGTACACGGGATGCAACATATTAGCATTTGAATATGAATTTGCAAACATAGACAGCTTAATAATGTTAAAATGATCATTTGTGGAGTTACTTGCCACAGCTTAAACTTTTGTTGTGACTTGTTGCATGTATGATTTAAAATATCTGCAAAGCAATAGACAAAATTATTTTTTTAAATATACAGTGTTGTATCATTACTGCTAATGGGTCATAATGTGTGGAGTTTTGTGAAAACTGCCATGGAAAACATGATGAACGCTGGACTAGCAAATAGTGAATTCATAAAAGGAGACATTATCTGCCTTTGAGAATAGAACAGAATAGAATAGAATGCTGGATGGAGCTGGAACACAGCAGAGTTCTGGAATGAATTAGAATGTTGAGGTGTCATCTTGTGGATGAAGCCAGGTGCTCCACAGAGGACAGCTGGACAGCTCTGAGGTAAGCCACATGCAAAACCACTCCTCAAAATTTCTAGTAAAGTATTTTATTTTATTTTATATGACTGGTCAGGCTTCCTGGGGGGCTCCCTGTTGACGTGAAGGTCTATCATCTGGTAAATTGGAAGATGAACTTGCAAGCTGTTCAACCTCACTTCAGGCTTCTGGTGTGTCCGATGTAGGCTGCTGTGGTAAGATACTGGCACCAAACTCCTGTAGCATATCTGACCTGTAACATTGGATTCAGAATAGATTTTGACTGCTACCACTTTTCATAATTTGGCTCAGGATGTTTGGTGCCACCATGATGATTTAAGGATTACCAAATCCCTCCTTGAATATCAAATTGTTAGCATTGATTATTTACTGAGAGTTAAGTACAGTACAACTTAGAGAGTTTTGCTTAGAGGAGGGATATTTGGAAATATAGTATTTATAATCATACAGTTGTAAAATAATTAACTAACTGTGTAAAATGTTGGGATTTACTCTAACCTCCTACATTAGGACAGTGTTTTCATGCTCTCGTTCAATCACTCGCTGTGCTTTCTCTCCTCACAGGTTTCTATGGATCATCATTATATCTGGATACTGGTCGTGCGTCTAAGGTAGTTGTGACATATGCAAGAGTATACCTCCCTGGTTGTCCTGATCGTGACAGTGAGCATGAACTGTCGGGGAGAGACAGTCATGTATCTCCCCGACACACTCTCCCTAAGAGAGACAAGCGGGGAGAGTCCTGCACGGTGACATGTCGCTGTGTTGGGCTGCTGTTTCAATAGTATCAAAAGGGGATGCCCAGTCTTCAAATCATGTGCCAACATGCGTTAGGTTACTTCCAGTGTCCGATGTACGATGATGGGGTAATATGCTCTCACCAAACTCCTGTCGTGTAAACCAGTAGCATATCTGACCTGTAACATTGGATTCAGAATAGATTTTGTCTGTTACTACTTTTCGTAATTTAGCTTAGTATGTTTGGTGCCACCATGATGATTTAAGGATTACCAAATCCTTCCTTGAATATCAAATTGTTAGCATTGATTATTTACTGAGAGTCAAGTACAGTAAAACCTAGAGAGCTTTGCTTAGAGGAGGGATATTTTGAAATATAGTATTTATAATCATACAGTTGTAAATGAATTAACTGTGTAAAGTTTGGGGATTTACTCTAACTTCCTACATTAGGACAGTGTTTTTATGCTCTCATTCTCTCACACATATCTCTGACTCTCGCTCTCTGGCTCTCTCTGGCTCCGACTCTATCAGCTGACAGTGGGCGATTTCGCCACGGCCTCCCTCAGCCAATCATATATTTCCCGTCAAACTTTAAAGACCTGTTCTCTTCTGTGCAGTCAGCTGTCATTTCAGTACGAACCAATGTGACCCCTCCTCCCCATTCATCATCACATCCGGTGCTCAAGGTTTCTTCCACTGAGGGCAGTCCCACTCCACATGCCATCATCTAGATCTTCAGCCTGCCCCTACTGTCTTCAACACCCCCACCAGTGTCGACTCTCCAAAATTTTAACTTTACTTTGCACAATTTAATAAATGTATTTGTTCACTGTCAATTAAGTTTCTCCTGAACAACCTGTGTCTCCCTGTATAAGTGTGTCAATTATCTCCCGGTGACTTCAGTTCTCCTATTTATTATGTTTTTTTGGATGTATGTCATGTTATTTCAAACTAATTTGCAATCATAAGAAGTGTGGTCTTTGTTGGTGAAATGTTTCTTATATACAAAGAACAATTACTTATCGTAAAACTCCAAAAATATAGTAGAGTAAAATCTTTTAGGTGTGTTTTCTAGAAACTACAGGTCTGATGAGGAAAGTGGGAACAGGTGTGTCGGTGGGAGGGGATGTCATGTGACCAGGACTGGCAGGTCTGGGGAGTGAGCAGGGGCTGGAGAGAAGGACAGAGAGCCAGGACGGGCAAAACCACCAACCCACTACAAAGTCTCTGCCCTCCCTTGAACTTCTCAGACAGTTTAAGTGGTTTGTCAACTTTTATCATTTCATAAAGAGGTCATTCTTTACCTTCAGGTTATTTTACGAGTAGTAAATCTCTTGTTGTCTCTGCTGTCGGACTGTGGAGGTCCAGTTTGGTGGATAAGTCACACTCTGTCTGTGTACCTTATCAATTACTTTTTACAATCAGTTCAGTAGTTTACTCATTTAATATTATCACCATCCAGATGAAGAAAGTTGCTGTACAATAGAGCGAGGAGTCACTTGGTAGCAGTAGTAAGTCATTCCCCTTAGCTCCCCAACCTCCTGCACCCCAACATCTGCTGCCATCACCCCCGGCTCCTGTGCCTCTGTCTCCAGCTACAGCAGCCTGGCATCAGGGTCTTCATCAGAGAACTGGAGCAGAGACCCTGAGCTCCGCAACACCTTCAAACACTGCTTCAGCACCTGATTGGCCTTTCATTTCCCTTCCTTAGACCTCAACAAGGCGTCTGTGGTGCCCTTATCAACTATAAGGTCCACACTGCTACAACCGTAGTGCTTGTGGAGCTGTGTGCAGTCCAGCTCTACGAACTCAAGCCGAGAGGAAAGATTGTGAGGTTGAATGGCTTTGGTTTGGACGTGTTCCTGCATTAGTTGCACAGCTATGGGGGAAATGTCTGCACAAGTGACCCGGACCGGGAGAGGAGAGTGTCTGTAAATACAGGGCCCTAAAGCAGAAGTGCCACAGCCCATATCCAGGACTTGGAGCAAACCGTCTGGGTGGGGCTTGGTCTGCAATAGGGGCATAATGAAGTCCCGGACAGCATCGAAGCCAAAGAACCACTCAAAGTGTTTGAAGGTGTTTGTGCTGCTGCTGCTCTCAGTGTAGAAGCGGTCCCAGGTTGCTTTCTTATCCATGTTTTCAATCAGTTCAGCTACGCAGAAACACAGATGGGATTATGTCACATGAGTTAGTGAGTGAACATTAGCAGTAAAACACAGATACAACTTGCCTCAGTGCCTCCATCCTTCTGTCATATTTGGAGGGACTTTATGCTAAAATAAATTTAAAATCTATCAATTTAATGTGTCAAATATCTTTTCTTTTAATATATGATTTAAGACCTTTTCTTGGGTCCTTGGAAGCCACTAAGCTCGGCATGAAGACAATCTACCAAGCTGACTCACATTGCTCATTAAAATAAAAAAGCAACATACACTCAACAGTCCTGCATTGAATCCTCCCTTTGTGTACTTTATAATGCTCAGTTCAGCTTTAAACTGTTAAATAGGTGTGTTGATGTATCCAGGCTGTGTTATATTAGACTGCATTAGCTTGGTGTCGCTAACAAGTTAGCAACTGAGTGTGACGTTATTGCACAACAAAGTGCTACTTTATGGTCAGCTTCTGTAGCCAACATATCGGTGACTTGCGGAATCTTTTACAAGATTAAAATGTGCCTTGCTACGTCCTTATACCTTTGCAGCAGATAAATGGGCAGTGCAGTTTACAATTATCATCCACCACCTTCCGGTGTCTCCAATGTTCACACAGAACTGATTATAAGCGGCAAAGTCTGGCTCATTGTCAGCAAGGTTTTCCCATTTCCTATATTCAGATCCACTCCCGCTGCTGCCGTCTGACCACCTCCAGTCGATTACACTGAACAGGCCGATCCACACGTCAGATTTGTAGCCGAGAGATGAAACTGTGTTGACGAGTTGGTTCACTTCTTCAGTGTCTTCAATGGTGGCCAGGTCCTTGTATGTCTCTCTGCAGTGGAGCTGAGCTGGACTCATATTTAGACTAATTTCCTGGTTGCCCATCTTTCCACCACTCTCCCACTTGTTCTGCTGTGACGTACATGGCCGATCAGCTGAAGAAGCAGGACACGGACGACACGGTGAGAAACGCGCACAAACCCGCCACGCGCTGTCAGGGCTGCTTGTTGTTCCGTCTGTCTGCAGCTCTCGAGCACAGTGTTCCAAACATGCCCCGACAATGTTCATGTGCCATTGCATACA